AACCTATCCTAAGGAAGAGCTAATCACACATGACCTTCACATTAACTCCTCTGTCTTCTTCGTGGATCAAAAACATCTCACAAACCACCAGAAGAAGCATTCAATTTTCGTCGAGTAAATATGAACGATGAGACATCAACTCAACGTGATTGGGGACAGTTTTACCGACGCTTGGATTATATTATTGAGTTTAGAGGTATGTGGCATAACGAGCTAGATCAGCGTACTACCGAGCTCATATTTCACAAAGGCTCAGAGGAAGATTTCCGCAACATGCTTTGGGACGTTAAATATGACGAGGGCGAGTATACATCTGAAGAGTTGAGAACTTTTATTCAAGAGCTTAATAAAGATTACGATGGGGAAGTAATTACTAAGTCAGATCAGGTTTATTGGCGTCGTCGCTTTCCCGAATTCAAGAAAAACTATCTACGTGATTATCCCAAATGCCATAAACTTTCTTGTTATAAGCAGGAGCTTTTACAACAATCACAATTAGTTTTATCTTCAACTACATCAGAAAAAAGATCTCAAGAACATATATTCGAATCTGAAACTAAATCATATTTCGATGACGATTCCGATTACAGCCATCAACAGTCGATAGCCAAATCTAGCACTACTGCAGCAAAAAGAAAACCTAACAAGCGATTAAAACGTCGAATCGAAAAATTTATAAACAATTCGGATCACAATGATGTAAATATATCAAATTCTCGTATGATGCTTGATGATAATTATTTTGTTTAGAAACCCGTAGAGGTTATAAAAATGACTGATGAGTATACTATTAATCAAGGTTGATCATGTTTAACACGGCGAGAAATTATAGAAAAGTAAAGTGAAGAAAGCCGTCAGCTCAATGAGGAGAATACGAATATTTAGTTAGCCTTGATATGTATTTTAGTAAAAGTTTTTTTTAAATAAATTTAAATAATATTTGATTTTATCAATTATCTTGTTGTTTTCTGTTTAAAAAAAAAATGAATATGTTCTAACCAATCACATCACATCCTCATGAATCTTTTAATGTGACACATTCAATTTTTGTCAAAAAAATCAGTCCTGACCAATCTTATCTCGTCCTAGTTGAATCTTTTTTGAGGAAAATTGAACGTGTTTAATTTTTGTCAAAAAAATCAGTCCTGACCAATCATATCTCGTCCTAGTTGAATCTTTTTTGAGGAAAATTGAACGTGTTCAATTTTTGTTGAAAAAA